GCACGGACATTTAAAGAAAGATAAAATAGCATAAAAGATGTATATCTGACTTGTTTATTTATGTGGTACATGTAATGCATATTATATGGGTTTAGGATTTTATGCAATTATGTTCTAGATTACTTATATCAGACAAAGAACCTCACTGAAGTGTTGCGGATCCAGGTTTTAACTATGTTTCCCTGACCTTATTGTCTGTCTCCTGTTGCTGGGCAGGAATCAGAATGCTGGCAACTGATTGGCTGAGTTTGTGAGCAGCTCTTGAACAGCCACTTAAATTCTTGAGCTTTTTGAGCAGGCAGATTGTAGGCTAAGACGTTACAGCTTTTGGTAATACTTCCCTTTGTTGTTTCATAGCTATGATCTCTTTGCTAGAAAGAAGGGTGGAAGGAGTGGGTGGAGGGGGGTGAAGCAGAGAAGAAAATAATGGTTTCACTTAAAGAAGAAGAGGCTCATTGGGCTTTCCTTAAAAATAATTTAACCAAAATTTGAAAAAAATTTCCAAGCCATAGAGACTTATTTGCAGGTAACACTCTCTTCTTGGTTATTTGAATATAAATTCCTTTGGTAAAGGTGAAACCCTTGTTATTGCCGTAGAAAGATTTTATTAGTGGTGGTATTTCCCTAGAGTTCTTGAATCTGAATATATAGAGTAGGAACTTAAAAAAACAGTTTTTTGAGTATCTTTTTCATGAAAAAATATTTTCAGAAGAAAGTAATCGAATTTTACACATTTACTGTTAGATATGGCAGACATTTTCTGCTGTAAAATATAAGTGCTTTTTCTTGTGAAAATGAATTACAGTCATGTGAGAGCTTCATGATTTTAGTGTCCCCACCTGAAAAAGTATTTCTTTTGTAGAATAGTTTTGTGAATGGCATCTCAGTCCAGATGACGGTATTTAAAATGATTCTTAGAAATGTTTTGTTCCGGTAATACAGCCATGGAGACTTGTTTGCAGGTAACACACCCTTCTCTAATGTGTATCTTTCTTAAATACTGTTTGCTTATGCAAAATAGATTTTTAAAAACTTACTGTTGATTGGTTTGCACAGATATGGCTGAACTAGTTTGAACTGGTTGTTCAAGCTACTTCCTTATTGCTTTGTCTGTTTTTCATTCTACTTAGAACCCATGAAAGATCTGGTAAATGGCTGTAGTGTGCTCCCTTGTGGGTATAGATGGTAGTTATTCTGTAATTCTTTGTACAGTACTTTATTATTACTGAATAGAATGGCCGTTTTGTTGATAAAACCAGCTTGCTTGGGTGATATTTATTTTTATTAAATGTTATTTGGTCGTGGCAGTTTAACATTAGACATGATGTTTGCATGTTGAATTTTCTAATTTATATACAAAATACCAAAAATACTTGAGGGAAATTTGTCCCCAATTCTTTAGTTTATGCCTAAAAAATTTCTGAATAAACATAGACAATTATGATGATAACATTTATTGAGTGCCTACTACATTCTAAGTGCTTAATATATAGAATCTCATTTAATCATTACCACAACCTCTGTGGCAGGTACTGATATTATTTAGTTTCAGGTAGCTGAAACTAAACGTTGAAATGTTAGGTAACTTGCTCTGTGTCATTTATAGTAAGTACATGGGAGAGCTGGAACTCAAATCCGTGTTTCTGTCTACAGAATTCATGTTCTTAATGGGGTTACTAAAAATTATGAAAATATACTTTTTAGAGGAATGTATGCTTTTAATGCAATTGGCAATAATTACCTGCCATCCATATAACAGATGAGAAATGTAGATATTAGGTCAAAATCCAACAGAATTGCAGGTCAGTATTTGAAATTACTTTTTTTTCCAGTATTTGAAAAAAATATGTGTAACCATACTTCTTATATTGTAAATTTAATTATGTGTGTCTGGAGTCAGCAGGGAAAAGTGACTATAACCTTTTCATTCTGTCTTCTTTACAGAAAATTTTTCAGTTTGCATGAGTTTGGATTGGATCATGGGTTGGAAAAAACTTGATGTTTAAATTTTAGACTGCAATTAATAACCTTTAAAATAGTACCTATGGTAATTTTGCATTGAAGTTCTTGTTCAATTGAAAGGTAATTTTTGGAATTAGTTTTTACTCAGTTCCATAATTTAAAAAGCTAGGAAGACTAAGAAATATAGTATAAGTAATTGGCTTAAAGTGAGAGAATGAATGTAGAATGTACCACAACCTAGAAGTACTGTGACGAAGTACTGTGTCAAAGTCGTGGGTTCTCAAACTGTGTTGGTCTGGAGCGAATAGGCCAGGTCATTGTTTTATGCCTTTCAGCCAGAAAAACAATGGGACAGTAGGAATACAGCTGTAATTGAACAAGTTGGGCTTATTATTTGTTGCAGCAAGGGAGAATGCCCATCATGGGGAAACCATGAGGCACATCAGTAAGAGACTGTTGGAAAAAACACCTAGTATATGACTTGGTTATAGTATAGTATAGGTTGGATTATTTTGGGGAGAGTTGGAGGAAGTAGAGCCTCACTCTGGATTGGGTTCTGTCAGAAGGTGGGGGCCGTTCTGTATCTCAGTAAATTTTATCTATAGGGAGGACAGATTACAGTGAGAATAAAGCTGCAGTTGATAAAGAAGTACCCATCACTCATTTGGTCATAGAGGGAGATGTTTGATATTTTACAGGTTGCATAGGGACCTTGTCTAATTTGAATGTTGAAATGGTTTTATGTTGAAAAGGAGAACAGCAGGGTTTCGCTGTAAGCGTCAAATCAGTTTGTAATAACATTGAGGCCTAGCTATGAGCCTCAGATAAATTCTCAGATGTCAGAGGCTGCTTTTTTTCTTCTCCAGCCAAAGCAGGTGTAACCTACCATCATTCCCACTGGTAAATGGTGATGATAAGTGGATATCCAATGTGAAAGCAATATTCTTCCTCCTTTATATCTTAGTCCTTAAAGGACTTTTATTCCACTATAGAATGGTGACAATGTCTTTCTCCAGGACCAAATCCTTGCCCTCTTTTGTTTGCCTTACTGCACTGGCTAGATGTTAACATAGAAATGATGACAGAGAGCATCTGAGTCAGTGTTGAGTTTTTGTCAAATGACTATTCTGTATTTGTTGAGATAATCTTTTATTTTCATCCTCTTTCTGTTAACGTGGCGAATTGCATTGCTTGAATTTTTTTTTTCCTAAATTTATTGTCTCACAGTTTAGGAGGCTAGAAGTCTGAAATCAAGGTGTTGGCAGGGCCATGCTCCCTCTGAAGCAGCTAAAGAAGGATTCATTCCAGGCCTCTCTCCCAGCTGTGGCTTGTTGCAGCCTAACTTGAATCTTCATATGGTGTTCTCCCTATGTGCGTGTCTGTGTCCACATTTTCCCCTTTTTATAAGGACACCAATCATACTGCATTAGGATTAATAATGACCTTATTTTAATTTGATTACCACTGCAAAGACTGTTGAAATAAGATAACATTCTGAAGTATTGGCGCTTAGGGCTCTAATATATTTTTATTAAGTGGACACTTTGGTTGAGTGTGAAATAAAGCCATAATGCCTCATGACTCATTCGTAATCTACGTTGCTTGATTTTTGAATATGAAACCAACTTTGTATTTTTTTAATGAGCTTCATGTGGTCATATTATATTACATTTTTAAGAAACATAATTCTAAATAACTCATAGATGAAAGAAGAAATCACAATGGAAATTACAAAATATTTTAACAGAACAATGATGAAAATAGGATGCAACAAAATGTGAGATGCAGCTAAGGTAGTGCTTGGAGGGAAATTTATAGCTTTACATGTGTACATTACAAATAGGAAAGATCAAACATTGATGATTAATGTTTAACCTGTTGACGAATTGCCAGAGTGTTTTCCACAGCAGCTGCAATATTTTGAAATCCCACCATCATGCGTGAGGATCCCAGTTTGTCCACATCCTTGCCAATACTTGTTATTCTCTCTGATTATAGCCACCCTGGTGTGTGTGAAATGTTATCTCATTGTGGTTTTGATTTGCATTTCTCTGATAACTAATGATGTTGAGCATCTTTTCATGTTTATTGCCTATTGGCTATTGGCTTGTTGGGTATTTGTATATCTTTTAGGGAAATGACTATTCAAGTCCTTTGCCTGTTTTTTTTTTTGGTGAGGAAGATTGACCCTGAGCTAACGTCTGTTGCCAATCCTCCTCTTTTTGCTTGAGGAAGATTGTCTCTGAGCTAACATCTTTGCCGTTCTTCTATTTTGTACGTGGGATGCTGCCACAGCATGGCTTGATCAGCGGTATGTAGGTCCCAGCACTGGATCCGAACCTGCAAACCCTGGGCTGCCAAAGCAGAATGTGCAAATTTAACCACTACACCACTAGGCCAGCCCCGACCCATTTTTAAATTGAGTTATTTTTATTGTTGTTCTTATTCAGTTGTAACAGTATTTTATATTTTCTAGATGTAAATCTCTTATGAGATACATTATTTGCAAGTATTTCCTTCTGTTGTATGAGTTGTGTTTTCACTTTCTTGATGGTAATTTCTTGTTAATATGTTTACAGTTGTTAGTCTTGATATGCCTGGTTGCAAATGTAGTCTTTCTATACACGTTTCTTAATTCTCCCTTCTCCTTGTCTCTATTCTTTTCCCATTCCCCTACTGCTTTCATTTTCTTGTACTTTTATTTTTCTTTCTCCGTCTACCTTTTTACTTTATCTACTTTTTTAATGCTTACCTATCTTCTCCAGACTCTGAAACCATTAGCTTACTGAAAATGAAAACTAGAAACTAGTCACTTTTTTCGTAATACTTCCTAGTAATTGATCTTCTATGGACTGTACCTATTATCAATTTTATATTACATAAAACCAATAAATATGAAAACACACAGCAAGGATTATTGTCAGTTTTTCAAAATGACTTGAAGTGCTGCTTGGTTATAAGATCAATTTGCAGTAAGGCTGTAATTAGATGGGTTCTGTTTCAGTTATTATAATCTCTCTTTCTCTCTCTCTTTAAAGATTCAAAATGGATGGTATAGAAGAACCTCAGAAAAAAGTCTTTAAGGCTCGAAAAACGATGAGAGTGAGTGATCGTCAACAACTTGAAGCAGTGTACAAGGTCAGAGAAGAACTGTTGAAAACTGATGTCAAGCTGTTAAATGGCAACCATGAAAATGGAGATTTGGACCCAACCTCACCTTTGGAAAATATGGATTATATTAATGACAAGGAAGAGGTGAATGGTATTGAAGAGCTTTGTTTTGACCCTGAAAAAAGTAAATCAGAATGGAAAGAAACACCTTGTACCTTAAATATTAATGTAAAAAACAAGCAAGATGATGATTTAAAGTGTGAATCTTCATCTCCTAATAATGTAACTCCTGAACTAGCCTCTAAACTGACTGCTGAACCAACTTCTGATCCAGCCGCTGGTGATCTGGCTACTGAAGATCTGGTCTCTGGAGATTCAGCCTCTGGAGATGTGGCTTCTGAAGTATTAACCTCTGGTGATCCCACCTCTGGTGATCCTGCCTCTCATAATTTCACCTGTAGTGATCCTGTCTCTAGTGATCCCGCCTCTGGTGAGCCTGTCTCTGGTGAACCCGTTTCTGGTGAATCAGTCTCTGGTGAACCGGTCTCTAGTGAACTGGTCTCTGGTGAACCGGTCCCTGGTGAACTGGTCTCCAGTGAACCAGTCTCCAGTGATCCAGCCTCTGATGATTCATCCTTTGGTGATCCAGCCTCTGGAGCATTGACCTCTGATGATCCAGCCTCTGGTGATCTGGCCTCTGGTGATCCGGCCTCTGATGAACCGACTTCTGATGAACTGACTCCTGAGTCAGCCTTTGATCCCACTTTTGAACCAAGTTCTGTACCAGTTTGTGAATCAGTTCCTGAAACTGACAATAGAGAGTTTAGTAGCAATAAAGGTGATGATTTTCTTGAAAAAAATAGGGATGGTGATAAGTTAGATCAAATTTTCTCATTTGATGAGAAAAATAAAGTTGATAGTAATATTGATGCTGATGAAGAAACTCTAGAAACAGATGATACAATTATTTGTTCAGATCTACCTCCTGAAAATGAGAAGAAGGTAGAGGAAGATGCCATTATAGAACCTGCTCTTGGAGAGGAGGCTATATCTAGCAGTATCGAAATTGACCAAAGTGAGAAGAATGAAGATGAAAATTCTGCTGACCTTGCAGAAACCATTAGTGAAAATGTTATGAAAGATGACAAAAATGAGAATATCTTAGAAAACACAGACTCTATGGAGACAGATGAAATCATTCCTATTTTGGAAAAGCTTGCACCTGCTGAAGATGAACTCACCTGCTTTTCTAAAACTTCTATCCTTCCAATTGATGAGACAAATCCAGATTTGGAAGAGAAGATGGAGGGTTCTTTTGGTTCACCATCTAAACAAGAAAGTAGTGAGAGTTTACCAAAAGAAGCTTTTTTGGTCCTCTCAGATGAAGAGGATATTTCGGGTGAAAAAGATGAGTCCGAAGTTATATCACAAAATGAGACATGCTCCGCAGGTTAGCATATTTAAATTTTAAAGATTTTGACTGTTTAATAAAACATTCTTACAAAGTTTTAAATTTCTTTTAGTTGCACAGAAAGTTGAGAATGGTGGTGACTAGAGAGATCTTTTAACTTCATAGATTCTTAGCTTCATAGAATTCAGAATTATAAAGTATCTACTCTGAGGAGTGGTGTGTGAAGTGCTAAGGGAGATAAAATAAGTAGAAAATATGGCTGTTGCCCTTAGGGGCCTTATAGTCTAGGAAGAGAGTTAAAATGGACCAATATAACACTATGAGATTGCAATTTCAAATCAATACATAATTGGTCAAAGTCATAACAATTGTTCTTGCTGTCATTTAGTAACCAAATAACTTAGAATCTAAAAGTCTACTGGTTTAATTTATTTGCTTCAAGTGTAACAAATTAAGTTTTACAGTTTTACCGTTGACATCTGTTTCTTTTAATATTATTTGTCTGGGGAATGACACCACCATTGCCGGAAGCCAGAAACCTTGAAGCCTGATTATCTGTTTGATGAAGACTTCATCCATTTCCTTCCTCAACCCTTGTGTTTACGCAGCCTACTCTCTTCCCCCTCATTTTCTGAATGATCTCGCTATAACCTAAATCTCTTTTATTTGATTGTGTTTCCTGTCTTTAGTTAGATCGCTATTACTTTTAGGTTAATTCCAGACTCCTTATATAAAAGGTATATAAACTTGATTGTTTGTTCAATGCTTGTCTTTCCTACCTCTTTTATTATTCCTAGAGAAAAAAGAAAGAATGAGAAAAATCCTACTTTGCTTTCATGGTCAAACTCAAATATCATTCCTATATGAAACTTTCTCTGTTCTTTCAGATTGGTACAAATATTTTTGTGTTCTCATTGTGTCACATTCTGTTAGAGATAGAGCTCTGTGAGAAGAGTGACCTTACAGCATGAAACATAGCATCTGGTTTCTAGTTTGTTCAAAGAAAAAAAATAAGGCAGGCCTAGGAGAAATAGAGGATTTTTTTTTCTAATATATCATACCAGCTTTTGAAGGTGGAGATTTTTTTATTATTAAAAGATGACTTCCTTTCCAAGAGCCTTTGTTCAATCATTAAACCCATAGAGAGAGACAGGCTAGGCTCTTCCTGGTTCTGGGGATTTAAAGGTAAAATTTAGTACTTGCGCTCGGGATGCAGACAAGAATTAAAACCAGGCCATTAAATAGAAGGCTGTGAATCCGGTAATAATGTTAAATTGGTATTCTGGGAGTTTAGAGGAGGGTGACTTTATAAGACTATAAGATGTGTTAAGGAAAGCACTTGCCTTTCACTATCTGTATAACATAGGGTTTTAATGAAGATAATTTCTCTTAATGGCAGCTCCATCCTACTTGCTCAGGCTAAAAACCATAGAGCCATTGTTTCTTTTCCTTCCAATCCATATCCATCCATCAGGAAATCCTGTTGGCTCTACCTTTATAGTAGATCTAGAATCCAGTCTCTTCTTACCATTCTTCACTGCTTTTTCCCTTGCTCTGAGCCACTATCATCAGGCCAAAATAATGCCTAGATGATAGTAAGTGCTCAGTAAAAATTTGTGGAGTGAATGAATAATTGGTAATATAAGAGAAGTATATCATGGAGGACCTTGGTTACAGTCCTAAAGCATTCTGATAACACTGTGGAGTCACTGAATGATTTCAAGCAGAAGAGAAGGACATGGTGAAATTTATGTTTTGGAAGATAATTAGGTAACAGTGTTTAGGGTGAACTTCATTCATTCATTCATTAAGTATTTATATAGAGAGTGATATTGGTGCAGGTCCTAAAAAAACCTTTTGGTAGTCTGTATAAGAAAGGCATAGCAAATTGCAGCTTATTATTTTGTGAGTTTATACGTTTTACTTTTATGTCTTGTTAATGGAGACCATCCCTCCCACACAGTGCAGTTAAATGCAAAGAAATTAATATTAAGCTATCCATGATTGTATAGGTTGAAAATTCAAAGTTGGCTTTGTCTTTGGTTACTTACTTTTAGACTTTTATCTGATTGTATATTATTAGCATAGTAAGTTTAGTGACATTTAATTTCTTAGCTGGTAACTAAATTTTACTTTCTGTCTCCCTCCTGCCCCACCCCAAAGGAACTTTTGTGTATTGTGGGTTGAAGTATAATTTCTTCATTGGTTCTTAAACTATATTCTGTTCTGTTTATATGGTAGCAGAATCTGTTATGTCATATTTGTTGCTGTGCACCTCCTGAGGTGTTAGTTTCTTCAGATTCTTTATTCATGAATAATTTTTAATGTTTTCCGCATACAGAATTGTACATTAGCAATTCCAAAGTCTGGCTCTTCCCTCTAACTATTAACACTTATGTGCTGTACTAAGAGGAAAATATAAACCTCCATCATTTCAGATGATTGTTTAGCAAATTTGTTTTAAATACAGCAGTTGTGATGGGTATGAGCAGCAACAAAAAATAGTGAAAGATATCAGAAAGCCAGGAGAAAAGCTATTTTAATTTTGCAAAAATAGAAGAAAGACCTAAAAGTGTATTGCAGATATACCTTTGTAGGCCTTAAGACACTATCATATTGTTGGATAGTACTATATAATAACTGATACTCAGTAAATGATTAAAATGATAGTCTAAGAAGGCTAGGAAAATAAAGATTTCTCTGTGGGAAAGTTTGAATACTAGAGGAGGTACACACATTAGATGTACCTTTCATGCACTCTCCATATCGTCTACTCTCCTCTAGCTACTGTTCCATCCCTCTCAGAGCCATCCTTCAAGTAATGTTAATAAAACTAGCATCAATTCTTCTTTTCCGGTTTACTCTTTAACTTAATTGAATTTTGATTTCTACTTGGCTAGGGCCCCTCCTAATTGTCCTCAGTGAAGTGACATTGGTGCTAATGTTGTTAAATCCGGGGCATCTTTTTTTGTCTTTGTGTCTTAGTGAGCTAGTTGTCTGGTTGAAAGGAAAGAATACCATACGTAGAACTATATGTGAAAATGTGCCAACTTGTAATGAGGCTATGCAGTCATGTGCCACATAACAATGTTTTGATCAATGACGGACCACGTGTATGACAGTGATCCCATCAGACGAGTACCATATAGCCTAGGTGTGCGGTAGGCTATACCATCTAGGTTTGTGTCAGTACCCTCTATGGTGTTTGCACAAGATGAAATTGTCTAACAACACATTTCTCAAAACATACCCTCCTTGTTAAGTGGCACATGGCTGTATTCAAGACCAGAATTATAGCAGAAACCGTCTGTGAGTGAAGACAGATTCTAAAAAAGATACCTAAATATTTGGCGGAGTTTCAGGAGTCCCAGGAATTACTTGAAATTATTATATAAAGATGTCTGTGTGCCTGGGCCTTTGATTATTATTCTGAGTTGAAGGAGATCCACTCAGATTCTCTAGAGGCTTTGTGGGGAAAAAAAAAATTAAAGAAATATAGAGCCTTACTCCTTTCTGTAGAATCTGTTAATACCATTTTTCTTATCCCAAGTTCTTTCCATTAAATAAAACTTGAGCATAAATTTTAATTTGTGTGTCTTTTCTAAAATCCTGATGAGTGTTTCGATTTAAGTGTTGAGAATCTAGTCATGTCCCCTAAGCACATCTGGAAAATAGAAATTGGATGGTAAGAGGAGATTTTTGAGTAAAATGAAGGAATTTCAAGCTAAGCTTGACATATCTGAAAGGAGAGGGAGTAACATAAGCATCAAGAGGCAGGCCCGTTTGCTGTGCTGTGTTCTGGATGATCGGGCTTGCAGTTACTCTCATTGGAGCCCTGGCTAATTTTGTTCTTTGGGTGATGTGATGATTTGCTAAATAAAGACTATGTAAACCTTCGTCTCTAGCAACCCAATTACTCTGTGTCTCTGGAAACTCTGGGACTAGGAAACTCAGGAGTCATCACCCTCAGTATTAAAATCAGGAAGAAGTATAGTTATGTATAGAAAAAAATGCTCTGTAATAAGTTTGCTGTCTATAAAGAAGCAAAACAAATTTTCATTTCACTGAAACTGGGTTCAGGGATGAGATCTTAAAACATTTCTAGTGAGCATAGCATGGTAAATGGAAAGTTAATTTTCTAATACTCATGTGTTTTAAAGTTTAAAAATATTTTTAGTAATCTTTACTATAAACTTTTTTGGTTTTTTTACTATAGTAACATTTTACAGCTTTATTGTTTTCATCTTAGTGTGAAAAAACTATTTGTAAGAGCCTTAATAGGTTCATCAATGATCCTTGTCTCTACCCATTTTCACCTAAAAGGTCTTTTAAGTTTTTTTTACCTTGACTTCTACCATCAAGGCTGTTGGGATTAAAACCCTGGCGCTGGAGAAGACATACCATATCAAAGTCTTTGTATAGTGCTCTATTCCTTGTGATTGCTTAGATTTGGTTGCGGAATATGATGAAACAAAGCATGCTCTATTGAAGTCACTGAGGAGCCAGTTGCAGTGATGTAAGGGGAAAAATAGAAACCCAAATATATTCATGATTTATTCTTCTACCCCATTTAATGACTAAGTTAATTGAGGAGTATAGAGTGATTGACCAAAGGCCATTTCTGGTACCACTGAGATTTTATTTGTTATAACAATGTAATTGTATAGACATTTTTAGCCATATTTTTTGGTGGCACTCTTTATTATATTTTGTATGCCTCTTGAGAAAGTTACTTAATCTTCTGAACATTACTCATCTATATGATGGCAAAAATACTGTTTATAGTGTAGGATTATATTGAGGATATGAAGTCATATATGTCAAACGCCTAGCTCAGTTGTTGGCACTAGTATCAAAGGAGCTGTTACTTTTAAGTAAAACTTATATTATCTTTAGGATAACTTTTCCATTCCTGTTTTATGAACTATCCCATAACCATTAAAATGACATAATGGTTTAACCTGACTGGTCAAACTATTAGTTGTTTTGAATTTGCCAGTAATTTGTAATTTTTTATAATTGTCACAACCACTGTTTTAGTTTTAATAATTGAATGTAAAGGAGTCTAAGAGCTTTACAGTAGTTTTCACGTTTTATTAATCTATTGATGACAGTAAATTAGACTTTTTGTTTTAAAATCTGTGCCATTAAGTTTTTTCCCATGTTAAGAGTTCATTACGAATTTGCAGGAACATTTGAAAGTGGACTTAGTTATTCATTTCTACCAATTCATGCTCTCTGTTTATTCCCAGAATTTCACATTTTGAGACTCTCATTTCATAAAAGATTATTAATGGATAGCTACACCAAAAGTATAAATTATAATGAGCTGCTGTGAGTTTTAATGGAAGTAAGATTTCCTTATCTATTTTTGTTATAGCAGAAGAAGAAAGTAATCAAAAGGACAGCAAACCTGAGGAAGAAGAGCAAGTAATACATGAAGATGAAAGGCCTTCTGAGAAAAGTAAGCCCGTACACAAAAACCTGAACTAGTTTAACAGAAGGTCATTCATTGCTTCTGCTTTTAAGGCTGTGGAATATACTTTTCTGTTCATGAGATGATTGTAACATTTTGCAATTTAAGTAAGCCACAGTTAAATCGTTCAGATCTGTGTTTAGAGCATGGGACTATAAGAATTTTGCCTGGGGTGGTATAAGTGAATGGAAGTATATGTCTCAGTCTCCTTAAGGTTCTTATGGTTCATGGGGAAGAGAAATGATGGGACTGAGTAGCCTTAGGTTTATAGGAACATCATCGGACTAGAAGTTAGGAAACCTGGGTTCTGTAACTGCCCCTGTCATACTACTCTCCACGTATCACTGTGTAAGGTATGATTACGAGAGACGTCATAGGGTAAAACTGGATTTAAAAAATAGGCACATAGATATGGACATAAAATGAAGTGGAGAAGGGTAGGGATGGTCACATAAGGACCACATTTGCCTTTAAAAAGTGTGGAGATTTTAGTGGTTTCCTGTTTTATGTATTGAAAAAGAAATTAGATAAAACTTGCTTATAATCTCATGATTGTTACCATTATTTGAAATTTTCTAAGTGAAGATCTTTCAGTATCTGTTCTTTACTAAATTTACTTTTATAATGACTAATTTTATTATTTTTATATATTTGAAATTCATTAGGATATGTTAAGAATAACTATTGTATTATTATTTTCCTAAGGCTGATGATTAAATAAGAATTTTTCCTACTGAGGAGGAAGAATTAAATAATTAAAGCTACGCACAGTAGTTAGAAATCTGTGACATGAGAATGAACACTGTATTTTGTCAGAGGATTCATGTGCACTATAAAATTTAGCAAAGAGAGTGAATGTGAGATGATTTCTTCTCATCTTTTATTCATATTTTTAGGTGATTTTCTATCTTAAAATGAAGATTTCAAGGAAAGAGGATGGAGAATAGGCATTAAGGTCAGTAACAAAAACACCTGACTGATCATTATGCTTTTTGTTCTCAGGTGAATTTTCCAGAAGAAAACGTTCTAAATCAGAGGACATGGACAATGTACAGTCCAAACGCCGTCGATATATGGAAGAAGAGTATGAGGCAGAATTTCAAGTAAAGATTACAGCCAAAGGAGATATTAACCAGAAGCTACAGAAGGTGTTATAGATTATTTGTTAAAAACTGTTAAATAAAAAGCACTCCCATCTTTATTCTAGGTTTTTGACATTACTCTGTATTTTGCTGATATATTCAGGTTTTTCATGGAAAGAGAAAACTTGAAGTTAGTGGTTAAAGTTATTATCCTTAATAATTTAATTTTAAAATTTCTTCTGACTCTTTTAAAGCTACATATTTTTTTTAGATATGGTAGTAATTATCAAAATGGAAGAGAGAGATGATGACTTCTTTCCTTGCTTTAATAGCAAACCTGAATATCAGTTTTCAGATTTTATTCTTTCTTCTGTTTTGAACGTTATTCTAGTGAAAACATTAGAGTCTTATATGTTAGCATTTTAATCTTTGTGATAAGCTGGTTTCATGGTTATAAGTCCCTACATTTGAAAATCTTTGTTGTGTACTTTAGATTTAGTATTAAAAGCAGTGGGGACAGGGCTTTAGGACTAGAAAAGGGAGTGTTTAAAGTACAGACTTTGGAATCCTTCCCCTATATCTGCCAACCTAGAGACAGAAATACTGAAAATATGCAGTATTTAATATATTTGTCAAAATGTGTTCACAAATGTTTATGACAATTGCCTTCTTAAGAGAAGACTATGAAACTCAGGTGAAACTAGTTTTTCAAAGTCTGATAGATTTAATAATGAAATTATAAATAATCTGGGTTTTAGACCAATGTTCTTCCACTAAGACACTATATGAAATATCTGCACTATGAAAAGGAATAGTGAGGCAGTAAAAAGTGGGGTTTTTCCCCCTCCCAGTTTTTTTTAATTTGTCGTATGGAGATAATAATGCTTATTTAGTCTTTCTTACAGAGGTCTCTGAGAGCTCTATATAGATAGCTATGTGGAAGAATTTTGAAAACTTCTATGTGTACTGTTTACTTCTCTAGAACAGTGTTACTCAAGTATGATCCATGGACATGCACCACGTGTCCTGTTTGTTATGGGTCCATAAGGAGATAAATATGGAAATTGTGAGTAGGCATTTAGAAATGTTTTTTAGAAATTTCATAGTGCAGTGACGTTCTTAGTGTCTCACAAAAATATCATCTCCAACAGATTAGAAACTTTAAAAACTGGTCTTTTCTTTAACTGATTTCCTTTAAATCCTGATAAAGGGTGTGGGAAGAAAATATTAAAAGTTCAATTTCAAATTATTTTTAAAATTTCACTCTGGAAATTTTCTCTTTTTGGTATGTCTTATTCTCTCGTGATGTTATATATGTAGAAGTGGAAGCTTTCAGCAGACAGCGTTGTTTTATGGATGCCAGCATGTTTTCTCATTAAACTTGTTAATACGTTAGTGCTATTTATCAGTACTTAAGAATATTTACTGTTTGCTACTTGCAGACGTGCCTTTTTTGCTGTAACAAAGGAATATATATTTCTTTAGGTTGTACAGTGGTTGCTGGAAGAAAAATTGTGCGCGCTGCAGTGTGCTGTGTTTGATAAGACTTTGGCAGAGTTGAAAACACGAGTGGAAAAGATTGAATGTAACAAGAGGCATAAAACAGTTCTTACTGAACTACAGGTTTGTACACTGACTTGAATTATATACTCAGATGTATCATTTTTATAACTCATCTTTGGGGATACATTTTCAAAGTTGACAATAAAGTACATTTAACCTTTAAAAGTTAGAAGTAAAAGGAGCCTCTATTAGTTTGCTGGGGCTGCCATAAAAATAGTACCATAAACTGGGTGGCATATAGAAAGGTTTTGTCTCATAGTTCTGGAGGCTAAAAGTCTAAGATCAAAGTGTTGGCAGGATTGGTTCTTTCTGAGGGCTGTGAGGAAGAATCTGTTCCATGTGTCTCCTCTCCCTTCTTTTGGTTTGCTGACAGTCTGTTGTTCTTGCCTTGTAGAAGCATCATCCTGATATCTGGCTTCATCTTCACATGGTGGTATACCTGTGTGTCTGTCTGCCCAAATTTCCCCTTTTTACAAGGAAACTGGATTAGAGTGCACCCTACTCCACTATGACCTAATCTTAACTAATTACTTCTACAGCGATCTTGTTTCCAAATAAAGTCAAGTTCTGAGATACTCAGAGTTCAGTTTCCATATATGAACTTTTGAGATACACAGTTCAACCCATAACAGAGCCTCAGAAATTATCTGATTTAGTGCTTCTTAAATATTTTTTAGTCACTGAAGAAAGACTGACATCATTTAGCATGTCCTAAGTAGTAAATGATATTTTTTGTAAGTGATTCTTTTTATATTAATCCACTTCCTTCCATGGATTCTTATGTTTTAAAGACATTAGTTTGTTAATCTATATTTCTTAATAATTACTACTTTTTTTAATTAAATGTGTTTATATGTTAACATATAGTGCCAGAGCTTCTAATCAGCTGAAATGAGCACATGCTGTTGTAACCCATTCTAGTCTAAGACTGAGACACTGGAAGTTTTTATTGGTACGTTCATTCTGTCGTAACTAAATGTGTGGTTTCTATTAGGCTATCTGAAATATGAGCACAGTCTGCAGATGCTGAGTTGCAAACCACTTACAGAGCCTTAGTTTACAAATGAGGGAAAAGTAGTCCATGAAAATAAAGTCACTGTTTCCCAGTTAGAAGCAAATTGCAACCAAATGTGACTAGAATTTATTTGTTTCATTTCTCAACCTAAAATTTATTTTCTTGGTTTCATATTGTTAACTTTTTTTGAGGTGAAACTCTAATTAATAAGCTCTTTGTAGTAATTTTGCATGCACCATTTAGGACAACACTCGTCCCGTTTCTGACCTTTAGCAGGTCTCTCTGTAGTGATAGTGTTGTCTAATTAGTAAACTTTATTTTACTGGTATTATTGAGCATTTTGAATAAGAACTTGAAAATGTCTGAAGTTTTAAAGAGTAATTTCATTCATTGTTTCTCATCAGTCCCATGGCTGCAACTAGGATTTTGTGTTTTTAAAACTTGAGATTTTTGAGGGGCTGACCCTGTGGCTGAGTGGTTAAGTTCGCGCACTCTGCTGCAGGCGGCCCAGTGTTTCGTTGGTTCGAATCCTGGGCACGGACGTGGCACTGCTCATCAAACCATGCTGAGGCAGCATCCCATATGCCACAACTAGAAGGACCCACAACAAAGAATATACAACTATGTACCGGGGGGGGGGGCTTTGGGGAGAAAAAGGACAAAAATAAAATCTTTTAAAAAAAATTAAAAAAAAACTTGAGATTTTGACTCCTATAGTCTCACGTAAGGTAGAAGTCCAGAACTCTTAACATTCAATAAACCCTTGCACTTGGATGTTTCTCTGTAGCCTCAGAATCTGAGTCTTTCCAGTACTAACCAGATCTCCTCCGCAAGCAAATCCCCCTTCTCATTATTCCTCTTACAATTCTTGAATTCTTGGAAAAGTCTTCAAAGAATATCTTCCCGTTGTTCCTCTTAGTGACAGTTTTTGAGTTCCTGGAAACTGATTCCTCTCAATCGTTTCACATACGTAGTGAGTTGCAAAATGACAACTTTTTTATTTCTTGTAAAAGACTGTCTTTTACCTCCTCCCACTTGCCACAAGGCCATTGTTACTCAGTTCCTTGATCATAGTAACAGCCTTTTACATGACCACTTTGGTACTACTTTTTAAGTCCTACTGGTCCTTCTCAAGCATTGTACGCATCTTTCTAAAGTAACTGCTTGTTTCATTCTCCTCAGTGTAGTCCGGGTTCTTCAGCTGTGCACCAGTTTAAACCAGTATTCATTTTTTGCTTTTTTTAGTTTGGATCTGCCAGTTTTCGATACACTTTTCCTAATACCTACCAGTTGTTTCCCTGTCCTGCAGAGTATCAGTGCTCATGGTACTTTTATTTGAGGCTTTCAACCTCATATTGTTTCTCCCATTCACTCACTCTTAATGATCTGCCCTTACCATGCCATTTATTTAAATTTTATTAAGCTCAATTTAGTTGCTGTCTCTGTATTGTTCTGATAGTTAGGTTTTTATGGAAATAAAGTTCAGATAACAAAATAACTTTTGAAGTTTACAGTTTAGTGGCATTTAGTGCATTCACATTGTTGTGTGACCATCATCTCTCTCTGGTTCCAAAATGTTTTCCTCAACACAAAAGAAAACCACCTGCCTTAAAAAACCTTTAACAGTCACTCCCCACTCCCCCCTCTGCCTTACTCCTGGCAACCCCTAATCTGCTTTCTGTCTCTATTGATTTACCTATTCTGCATAATTCATATGAACTAAATCATAAAATATGTCAGCTTTTGTGTCTGGCTTCTTTTTCTTAGCATAATCTTTTTGAGATTTATATACATTGTTGCATGATTCAGTACTACATTCCTTTTTTAGGCTAATTAATATTTACTTATATCTGTATACTCTTAAAAATATTTGTAAACTATTGAAAATAAGTAGGTATTAATTAAAAATGTTAAGTGTAATCCCCAGAGTAATCACTAAGGAAAAAAAATATACAGATATATAACATAATGGATACACACATGCATTTTGTTTATGCATTATTTTGTTGATGCGTATTTGGGTGGTTTCCACCTTTTGGATACTGTGAATAGTGCTGCTGTGGACATTTGTGTACCGGTCTTTGAATACCTGCTTCCAAATCTTTTGGGCTTATACCTAGGCATGGAATGGCCATATGGTAATTCTTTAACTTATTGAAGAACCACTCAGTTGTTTTTCAGAGCAGCTGCACCATTTTACATTCCTACTGGCAATGTGTGAGGGTTCCGTTTCTCCACATCCTTGCCAACACTTGTTATTTTCTGTTTTGTTTTGTTTTTTTTTTTAAATTATAACATCCTAGGGAGTGTGAAGTGGTATCTCAGTCTGGTTTTCACTTGCATTTCTCTAATGACTAGTGATGGTTGAACATCTTTTCATGTGTGTGTTAAACACTTGTGTATCTTCTTTAGAGAAATATTCAAGTCTTTGCCCATTTTTAATATGGGTTTCTTGTTTTGTTGTCAGTTGTAAAAGTTCTTTACATATTGGATATTAAACACTTTACGAAATAGGAGTTATAAATGTTTTCTCCCATTCTGTAAGTTGTCTTTTCACTTTCTCGATAACGTCCTTTAATGCACAAAATGTTTAAATTTTGATGAAGTCTTGTAGACAGTGCATAGTTGAGTCGTGATTTATTATCCACTCTGCTGAGCTCTACCTTTTAATTGTGGAATTTCGTCTATTAACTTAGATTTAAAGTAACTACTGTTAAGGAAAGACTTAACTCCTGCCATTTTATTTGTTTTCTACCTTTTTTTGTTCCTTAATTCCTCTATTACTGTCTTCTTTTGTGGTTGAATTTTCCTAGTGTATCATTTTGATTGCCTTCTTGTTTCTCTTTCTATGTATTTTTTAGTTCTTTTCTTAATTATTACTCTGGAGATTGTATTTAACATCTTGAATTAATACCTACTTATTTTCAGCAGTATACAAAGCTCTATTCCTTTACGACTCTGTCCTGCTCAAATCTGCTGTTGAACCTCTCTGATGAGTTTTTAAATTTTAACGATTGTACTTTCAGCTCCAGAATTTCTATTTGGCTTTTTAAAAATATAGTTTCTATTTCTTTCTTGATATTCTCTATTTGGTGAGACATCATTTTCCCTAAAGTTCTCTGTGCATTGTTTCCTTTAGCTCTTTGAACAGATTTAAAACCATTTAATTAAAGTCTTTGTCCAGTAAGTCCAATACCTGAGCTGTCTTTCTATTAATTCTTTTTTTCCTGTGAATGAACCATATTTTCTTGTTTCTTTATATGCCTCCTAATTCTTTTTGTTGATTTGTGGGAATTCTGGAAATCAGATGTTTTCCCCCCTACCTGGGGTTTGTTGTTGCTGTCCATTGTGGTTTGTTGTTTGCTTGTTTAGTCAGTTTTGTAAACTGTCTTTGGAAAGTATATATTCTTTGTTGTGTGTGGCCACTGAAGTCTGTGTTTTGTTAGCTTAGTGGTCAGCTGGTGTTTTGACCTTAAATACTTAGAGCCTAAAAAAGCAAAAAGGAGGAAGGAAAAAACCACTCCCTCAGTCTTTGAAGATTGGCTGTGTGTTGGGGCACCCCTTCAATGCTTGTTTAGGCCTTTTACAATCTGCCTTGTGCAACTTGCTGTATCCTTCACTTTCTGCTTATGCAGACCCTGAAGGCCAGTCATAGGTGAAAGCTTTGGATCTATTTAGACCATTTCTCAGCAGGCATTCTGTCCTGGGCATTTGCGTAGTCTTCTGGATTCCCCAGTATGGGCAAGAGCTTTTAAAGCCCCATTTTTGCCGTATGTCACTTTTCCCAACCTTTTCCCTCCCAGGCTTTTCTGTTTATTGCTTCTCAAAATTGTTGTCTTTTGCTCCATTATATTATACTTATACTTCATATCATCATTAATTTTAGTATCAGTGGCTTTTTTTTTAAAACTCCACAATTAAATAAAAGTAGACTTTTAAAGGACTTGTGATCCTTTTATTGTAGTGTAAAAATTTACTATACAGGCATACCTCGTTTTTGTTGTACTTTGCTTTGTTGCGCTGTGCAGACATTGCATTTTTTTTTACAAATTGAAGATCTGTGGCAATCCTGTGTCTAGCAAGTCTATTGGTGTCAAGTTTACAACAGCGTTTGCTCACTTGAGTACTTGTGTCACATTTTGGTAATTCTCGCATTATTTCAAACTTTTAAATTGTTTTCTGGTATTTGTTAGGGTGACCTTTGATATTACTATTGTTAGTGTTTTAGGGCAACACCAGCCATGCCCATGTGAAATAGCAAACTTAATCGATAAATGTTGTGTGTGTTCTGACCGCTTCACTGATTGGCCCTTCCCCCATTTCTCTCCCTGTCTTTGGGCCTCCCTGTTCCCCAAGGCACAACAATATCAAACTTAGGCCAATTAATATTCCGACAGTGGCCTCTAAGTGTTCAAGTGAAAGAAAGAGTCACGTGTCTCTCACTTTAAATCAAAAGCTGGAAATGATTAAGCTTAGTGAAGAAGGTGTGTTGAAAGCCAAGGTAGGCTTAAAGCTAGGCCACTGGCATCAGACAGTTAGCGAAGTTGTGAATGCAAAGGAAGAGTTCTTGAAGGAAATTAAAATCTGCTCCGATGAACATATGAACGATAGGAAAGCAAAAACAGCTGTATTGCTGATAGGGAGAAAGTTTTAGTGGTCTGGATAGAAGAGCAAATCAACTACGACATTCCCTTAAGCCAAAGCCTAGTCCAGAGCAAGGCCATAACTGTCTTTAATTCCTGTGAAGGCTGAGAGGGGTGAGGAAGCTGCAGGAGAAAAGTTGGAAGCTAGCAGAGGTTGCTTCATAAGGTTTAAATAAAGAAGCCATCTCCATAACATAAAAGTGCAAGGTACAGCAGCAAATGCTGATGTAGAAGCTGCAGCAAATTATCCCAAAGATCTAGCTAAGAAAATTCATGAAAGTGGCTACACTAAACAGCAGATTTTCAATGTAGATGAAACAGCCTTCTGTTGGCAGAAGATGCCATCTAGGACTTTCGTAGCTAGAGAGGAGATGTCAATGCCTGGCTTCAACACTTCAAAGGACAGGCTGACTCTCTTGTTGGGGCTGATGTGGCTGTTGACTTTAAGTTGAAGCCGATGCTTATATACCATTCTGAAAATCCTAGGGCCCTTAAGAATTACGCTAAAGCTATTCTGTCTATGCTCTGTAAATGGAATAATAAAGCCTGGATGACAGCACATCTGTTTACAACATGGTTTAATGAATATTTTAAGCCAATTGTTGAGACCTGCTCCTCAGAATGAAAGATTCCTTTCAAAATATGACTGCTCACTGGCACTGCACCTCGTCAGCCAAGAGCTCTGATGGAGCTGTGCAAAAAGATTAATTTGTTTTCGTGACTGCTAACACAGCATCCATTCTGCAGCCCATGGATCAAGGAGTAATTTTGACTTCTGAGTCTTATCATTAAAGAAATATGTTTCATTAGGGTATAGCTGCCGTAGTTGGTGATTCCTCTGATGGATCTGGGCAGAGTCGATTGAAAACCTGAAAAGGATTCACCATTCTAGATGCCATTGAAAACATTCGTGATTCATGGGAAGACGTCAAAATGTCAACATTAACAGGAGTTGGGAAGAAGTTGATTTCAGCCCTCATGGATGACTTTGAGAGGTTCAAGACTCCAGTGGACGAGTAATTGCAGATGTGGTAGAAATAGCAAGAAAACTAGAATTAGAAGTGTAACCTGAACATGTGACTGAATTGCTGCAATCTCATGATATAACTTGAATGATGAGGAGTTGTTTCTTATGGAAGAGCAAAAAAGTGGTTTCTTGAGATGGAATCTACTCCTGGTGAAGATGCTGTGAAGATTGTTGAAATGACAACAGAGAACTAAGAATATTCCATAAACTTAGTTGATAAAGCAGTGACGAGGTTTGAGAGGATTGACTCCAATTTTGAAAGAAGTTCTACAGTGGGTAAAGTGCTATCACTTAGCATCACATGCTACAGAGATATCATTCATGAAAGGAAGAATCAATCAATGCAGCAAATTTCATTGTCTTATTTTAAGAAATTGCCACAGCCACCCAGCCCTCAGCAGTCACCTCCGTGATTAGTCAGCAGCCATCAACATTGAGGCAAGACTCTCCACCAACGAAAAGATTATGACTTGCTGAAGGCTCGGATGATGGTTAGCATTTTTTAGCAATAAAGTCCTTTTTAATTAAAGTATATACATTTTTTTTTAGACATCATCCTATTGCACACTTAATAGACTACAGTGTGGTGTAAACATAATTTTTATAGGCACTGGGAAGCCAAAAAATTTGTGTGACTTTATTGCAATGATTTGCTTTATTGCAGTGGTCTTGAGCTGAATCTGCAGTGTCTCTTGAGGTATGCCTGTACATTAAAAAATTTAGTGAGAGGATAGAATTGAGTAATACAGACTTTAGAGGAAAGTTCATGAAGTTCTCTATTCTGCTGTAACTTTTAAGGTATAAATTTCTTGGTAGAAACAGGAAATTAAACTTTTGTGGATTTTCAAATTAGTTGTCCTTATGTATTTTTAAAATGGGCTAGTTTGGGATTAAAGTCATTTTTAAGTTTTTAATAGTATAATTGGTTCACTGTGCGATATGACTTTTGTCCACATACTCTTATTAAAACCTGTTTTTAATTATTAGCTCCTTCTCTGTGTACTAAATAGATATTTTATAAGAGCTAGAAATAATTGTCAACATTCACATATATGGAGAATTAGTTATATAACAACTTTCTGTATTAGTTTAGGGATTGGTTGCTTTCTGAATCATGAAAAAATTTTATGTATTTTCACTTTTTCAGAGATGTCAAATTGTAAGGCAAATCCCAATGGTTATTTCCATGATTTTTATTATTTTTTAAGTAGAAAGATATATAAGTTTTAGGTTTATATATCTGATGCTTTGTCAGATTAGAACTGTAGTAACTTCTAAGAAAGTCTTAAAATGCTAAGAATTATCATTGTTGTGGATTCAGTAGTAACTGTGTAATAAAATTAGAAATTATCAGCAAATGTTTAGCTTTTCCACTCCTTCCAGACCATACTTCCCCCCAAAACATACTTTTAGATAATTGCAAAGAGAAGTAAAAATGGAATATATCCGCCAGAAAACAGAATATATAAATAATGATTCAGTATATTACACATATAGCCATAAGTAGTATTGATGAGGGATCTTTTATGACTTACAGAGATGCTTACTCATAATTCTCATGGAGAAAAGTGTGGTTACAGCTGCGTTAAAAAATAACAAAAAACACAAGATGAGATAATCTGAAATGTACTGGTTTGTGAGCAAACGTGCATAGTTCTAGGAGGAGAAAGCTAACCTAAAATTAAGGGTGTTTACTTCTGAGTATTGAGTTCGAGTCACTTTAGCTTTCATTGATTTTCTGTATTTTCCAAGGGTATATTTTACAATCAACTTCCCTTATTTGCTGTTAGCTATTTTCTGAGGATCATGTTATCTGTGACTTTCTTATGTATGCGTGGGTTCCTTCTTAACGCCATAAACCACTTGATTTCCGTTTTGTTTTTGCTTTTTTTAGGCCAAGATAGCCAGGTTAACCAAACGCTTTGGAGCAGCCAAAGAAGATCTTAAGAAAAGACAAGAAGTAAGAATTTTTATTCTTGCATAATTAATATTAAGCTCTAAGTGGTAATCTTATGAAAAGCTAAGTTAGATGGAAACTTACCTTATTGTATGTCTGAAATTTGCCTTCATACTGTTCGCTTCCTTTATGTTGTTTCTGGAGCTGCAGCTCTAGAACTAATTATTAATCCTTTTCTAATCCTCAGTTGCTGTTCATATATCAACACTTACATTAATCTATTTTATGTTATAGCATTCTTGAAGCTGTATTTTCTGTCCATCTTTAAAATTATGATTTTGGGATTTGTCTTACCATATTTCTTTTTTTTTTTTTAAATTCTTGCCAGTGTCCTCGTCTAGTCTGTTATCATTTCCTCCAAAGTATTTTAGTCTACTTTCCACTGCCTCGAGTAGCCCTGTTCGCCTCTTTCTTCCCCCATGTAGTTAAGTCCAAACATCGTAGCAGAGCACAAACTCAAGTCTGTAGTCTAACTTTTGCTTTTTATTATTTCCTTAGTTATTCTGTAATATGTAATACATATTTTTTAATACATCAGTTGTATATTGCATTATAGCTTTTATTTGAATTTCTTTCTTTTCTCTCTTTTTTTTTCCACTTGAGCAAGTTACATTTGTTTTTGTCTTGTTAGCTCCATTGTCTGGCATGTAGTAATTGGCAGTAATAATTATTTCAATAGTAGTCCTTATTCATAGAGGATTTTTCTGTTGATTCATTTTCATATCTTCTTGACCTTTAAAAAAATTTATTTTGAAATAATTATAGACACACAGGAGTTGCTACAGTTGTACATAGACTCCTATGAACCCTTTACCCAGCTTCTCCCAGTGGTGAAATCTTACATAACTGCAGTATAGTATCAAAATCAAGAAATTGGCACAATTCTACTAAGTAGTTATAGACCTTACTGGTTTTTGCAGTTTTTACTTGAATTCATTGTGTGTGCGTGTGGATGTTGTCCTACATAATTTGATCCCGTGTATAGGTATATGTAACTCCCACCACAGTCGAGATAAGGAACTGTTCCATCACCATAAAGGGGCGCCCTCATACTGACCTTTTATAATTTCAACCTTAGCCCATCTCCCCATCCCACCCACTCCCTGTCCCCTGGTGACTACTAAACTGTTCTCCATCTCTGTATTTCTATATTGTTTTTACTTAACTTTTTTAAGCTCTGGTTTCTCTCTCTTCCTGAGCAACTGCCAGTTGGTTTTTATCTTTGTTTTACACAGACTGATCTCACCAACCCTCATTTGGCCATACCCAAAGATTTTTTTACTATTATAGTCTTCAGTTATGTAATTAATTCTCTGATTCTAAATTCCACTTTCTCAGCTTTGTTTCTTTGTCATAATGTAAAAACTGAGCTATTTTATTTCTTATGTTGGAAAATTGGTGTAAACCATTTTTTTTGCCTTTTTTATTTGCTATGCCTGGAACCAAACAGGACTTTGACATTTTTCTGTTGTTTCATACAGTATGGATTTCCACTTTTTTCCTTTCATCCTTGTGTCTGAACTAAGTGGCATGCTGCCCAGTGTGTACTTTTCCAGTGTTTGTGCATGTCAAATTTCTTCTCAAAATGACTTTCCAATTCTTGTTTATTTAGTCAAAGGACATAGGCAGAGCCTTTAAGGAATAAAGATGAAAGTGTTACCCTCCCTGAAAGGTTTGTGGTGGAGACCTACAAGTAGTAGGGAAGGAAGGAACAAATACTGTGTAATTCCTAAACTTTGGGGAAGCTTAATTTGTACAATTAGGGCATGTGGTGGTTAAAGAAAAACTGCAAGGTAGTCTTCAGTCTTTCAGATTCTCTTCCTTCCTTAGTTAGCCTGTGGGCAAGGCCAATTTTAAGTTCCAAAATTGGACATCTTTTTATCTATTCTTGTTAATATTTTCTTCTTATGAGAGAGGTTTCTAGAAGTTTCAGGAATTTTGTTCTTTCACCTCCTAATTTCCTTTAATCATGCTATTCGCTATAATTTTATATCTGTGTCTTGCTAGGTTTTAAAAACAGGAGAGGGCCAGCCCGGTGGTAGAGTGGTTAAGTTTGCACATTCTGCTTCAGTAGCCTGGGATTCACTGGTTCGGATCCCGGGTGCAGACCTACACACTGCTTATCAAGCCATGCTGTGGCAGGCGTCCTACATATAAAGTAGAGGAAGATGGGCATGGATGTTAGCTCAGGGCCAGTCTTCCTCAGCAAAAGGAGGAGGATTGGTGGCAGATGTGAGCTCAGGGCTAATCTTCCTCAAAAAAAAATATGGACAAAAGAAAAAAAAAACAGGAGAGATATAGAAAGAATGTTCAGAACTTTAGTTCTCTCCCTTATCAAAATTAATAAAAAAACAATAACACTTTAAATACTTTTCTTCTATTTAGATTTGCTCCTTGGTCTTCTGATATTAACCAGTTAAAAACAAATCCCACCATTCAGGTTTGTCTTAAAACATTTTCTATTTTAATTTCTAAAAGAGCAAAAAATGCTCATAAGCTGTTTGCTATTAAGACCACATTCATAATGTGATCTGTTTTACTCCCTTATGATTGGTATCTCTAATTTTCATCCTTTCTAGTTCTTACTATAAAAGAAATGTCAAAATATTTCTCATCCTTAATGAAAATCAATGACCTAGTTGATTCTCAGTCACGTTTTAAATTAAATCTAAATCCTACATTAAAATTGTTTTTCATTTTGTGATGCACATTTTAAAAAATTCTTATTTTAATTGTGGTGAAAATATGTAACAAAATTTACCATTTTTAATTCTACAGTTCAGTAGTTTAGCTCTGTTAACATTTTTGTGTAACAGATCTCTAGAACTTTCACATCTTGTAAAACTGAAACTCTGTATCCATAGAAGAATGCCTCCCATTTCCCCCTCCTTTTAGCCCGTGGCACCCCTCATTGTTTTTTCTGTTTCCATGATTTTGACTACTCTAGATATCTCATAAGTGAAATCATACAGTATTTGTTCTTATGTGACTGGCTTATTTCATTCAGCATAATGTCCTTAAGGTTCATCTATGTTGTAGCATGTGACAGGATAACCTTCTTTTTAAAGGCTGAATAATGTTCCATTGTATGTACATAACACATTGTTTTTATCCATTCATTTATTGATGGATATTTCGGCTGCTTTTATCTCCTGGCTCTTGTGCATAATGCTACAGTGAACATCGGTGTGCAGGTATCTCTTTGAGATCCTGGTTTCAAGTCTTTTGGATAGGTACCCAGAAGTGAAATTGTTATATCATAGGGTAATTCTATTTTTACTTTTTTGAGGAGCCTCCATACTGATTTCTGTCCTGACCATACCATGTTAACTCCCACCAGTGGAGCACAAGTGTTAGAGTTTCTCCATATCATTGTCAACGCTTGTTATTTTCTGTTTTGTGAGTGGCCATCCAAATGGATGTGAGGTTCTATCTCGTTGTAGTTTTGATTTGCATTTCTCTAGTAATTAGTGATGTCGGACATCTTTTCATGTGCTTATCGGCCATTTTGTGTATCTACTTTGGAGAAATGTCTGTGCAGATCCTTTGCCCATTTTTTAATCAGTCTACTTCTTTTCTAGTTTATAAGTTGTAAGACTTCTTTATATATTCTGGATATTAACCCCTTATCAGATATATGATTTGCACTTATCTTCTCCTATTCTACAGATTTTCTTTTCACTCTGTTGTTTCCTTTGATGTGCAGGAGTTTTTAAATTTAATGTAATCCCCTTTGTTTTTGCTTTTGTTGGCTGTGCTTTTGATGTCATATCCAAGAAATCATTGTCAAATCCAATGTAATGAAGCTTCCCCCTATGTTTTCTGCTAGAAATTTTGTAGTTTACACCTTAGATTTAGGTCTTTAATCCATTTTGAATTAATTTTTGTGTATGCTGTGATGGTCCAACTTTGTTATTTTTCATTTGGATACTCAGTTTTCGCACCATTTGTTGCAAGACCATTCTTTCCCCTTTGTTTACCCTTGGCACCTTTGTGGAAGATTCATTTGACCATAGACCTGAGAATTTACTTCTGGGTTCTCTATTCTGTTCCATTGGTTCATGTATCTGTCTTTATGCTGGCACCATACTGTTTTGATTCCTGTAGCTTTGTAACATGTCTTGAAATAAGGAAGTATGAAGCCCGCAAATTTGTTGTTCTTTTTCAAGATTTTTTTGGCAATTTAGGGTCCCTTGAGATTCCATATGAAGTTTAGGATGCTTTTTTCTATTTCTGCAGAAGATGCCTTTGGGATTTTAGGGAATGCATTGAAACTTGATCACTTTGGATAGTATGGACATTTTAACAGTATTACGTATTCCAGTCCATGAACATGGGATGTCTTTGCATTTTTTGTGTCTTTTATTTCTTTCAACACTGTTTTGTAGTTTTTACTGTAAAGGTTTTTTGTCTTCTTGGTTAAGTTTACTCTGAAATATTTTATTCTCTTTGATGATATTCTAATGGGATTATTTTCTTAATTTCTTTCTCAGATTGTTCATTGTTAGTATATAGAAATACAACTGATTTTTGTGTATTGATTTTTCTATCCTACAACATTGTTGAATTCATTTATTAGTCCTAACATTTTTGTGGGTATAGACTCTTTAGGGTTTTCTAAATACAAGATCATTTTATCTCCCAACAGAGATAATTTTACTTCTTCCTTTCCAATTTGGCCACATTTTAGTTCATTTTCCTGCTTCAGTGCTTTGGTGAGGTGTTTCTAGTACAATGCTGAACAGAACTTGGAGAGAATGGGCAACTTTGCCTTGTTCATGGTCTTAGAGGGAAAGCTTTCATTTATTCACCATTTAGTATGATGTTAACTATGGAATTTTGACTATGGTCTTTTTTATGTTGAGGTAGTTTCCTTCCATTCCTAATTTGTTGGGTGTTTTTATCATGAAAAGGTGTTGAATTTTTTCAAATGCTTTTTCTGCAACAATTGAGAAAAAATCATGATTTTTTCACTTCATTATGTTAATGTAGTGTATTATGTT